CGCGCAAGCAACTCTTATTCAGTCTTCCCCTCCTTCAGTCAGCCGAGCTAGAGTTTGCATAACTATGCACTGACTGAGGCCAGGGAGCTTTTAAAGTGGAGAATGCAGGGGAACATGGGGGAAAGAACGGCAGAGAAATAAGGGCACTGACGAGGCCTAGCTGAAAGCATCAAAAGTAGAGACAGTGCAGCAGAGCTAAGAAGAGAGAAGAGGAGAGTAGTGTGGAAAAGCTAGAATTGATACATTGAATAATGAGCCAAGAGGCCTTTTAGTACAAACAATTAGCAAAAGAGAGATGAGAGGGAAGCTTACCCTATTGGCCAATAAGTTGGCCAATGGGTGAGCTTGCTTGTGATCCAAGCAACCACAAATGTGTGTTGGTTGGGAATGGTTGAGCTAAGGACCAATCCCAACCAACCACAAAATGTGGTTGGAGGGTACAATAAACAACCCCGCAATTTATAATTGTGCTACATATCTACTTCTAGCCTATGTATGTTGTATGAAATATGAAATTACAACGCAACCCCCCAACATGCATAAGGTGAGAAGGCTAGAATCAAGAGGCGAGAGGCGACTTAGGAGGAGTGAGGCCAAGAAGACGAAAGAGGGAAGAGTGAGCGGCATGAGGAAGAGCTTTTGTGAAGATGTCGGCAAGGTTGGCCGCCGAGTCAACCTTGTCGAGCCGAAGGTGCCCCGCCTGAACAAGATCGCGAATGAAGAAATGACGGAGCTCAATGTGCTTGGAGCGCCCGTGAAACACAGCATCTTTGGTGAGGTGAATGGTACTAGCATTGTCACACCAAATTGTGGGACAGCGCTGGGGAGCACCAAGTTCCTCAAGAAGGAAGGTGAGCCAGCGGACCTATTGCTCAGCCATGGTGGCGGCATATAATTCCGCCTCGCAGGAGGAGAGGGCGGCAGACGAGGAGCGGGTGGAGCACCAGCTGATAAAGCCGCTACCAAGAGAGAAGCCATAACCCTGGGAGGAGCGGCGATCTAGCCGGGAATCAGCCCAGGAGGAGTCACTGTAGCCACTGAGGAGAGGTGGGGAGGGGCCGCCAAGGGTAAGGACATAGTCCTTGGTGCCACGAAGGTACCGGAGGACACGCTTGGCGGCCTGCCAGTGCTCTTTCGTATGCTTGCCTGCGCCAACAAAACAAGCGAGGACGCTGATGGGGTAGGCAAGGTCAGGGCGAGTGGAGACCATGGCGTACATGAGGGAGCGGATGAGCTCGGGATAAGGATGGGAGGAGGTTGAGGGGGAGGTGGGTAGAGAGAGGTGGTGCTCGACAAAAAGAGGAGTAGGTTGGGCGCTGCCGCGAACCATGTCAAACCGCTCCAAGACTTGCTGCAAGTAATGACCCTGGGAGAGAGAGATGGTGCGGGCGGAGCAGTCGTGGGTGATGGTCATGCCCAGGTAATGCTGCAGCTCGCCCAAGCCCTTGCACTTGAGACGGATGCCCAACTCAGCCTTCACATGCTCCAACTTGCCAAGGTCGGCGATGAGCAGAATCATGTCATCGACATATACAGGGATGTAGAACGAGGAGGGGGAGGCGCGGAGGAAGAGGCTGGCGTCAGAGCGGGAGGTGCAAAACCCAAGTTCAGCAAGGGTGGTTGCAAGCTCGGGGCCTGTCGAAGCCCATACACAGGGCGACGCAGCTGCCAGACAGAGTCTGCAGGGAAGGGAAGGTGAAAATCGGCTGGACGCTCCATGTAGATAAGCTCGCGGAGGACGCCTTGTAGGAAGGCGTTGGAGACGTCCATCGAGTGGATCTCCATATTGAGGCGAGCGGCAAGGTCGAGCACGGCGCGAACAGTGGCAGGTTTGGCAGTGGGGGAGAAGGTATCGAAGAAGTCAAAACCATACCGGTGCGTGAACCCCTTGGCACAGTAACGAGCCTTATAGACGGGCGGCTCTCCTGGCAACTGTTTGACGCGAAACACCCACTTCCCCTTCACCACGTTCGTAGAGGAGGGAGGGCGAGGCATATCGACGAAGGAGGAGTTGGCGACAAAGGCCTCCAGCTCCTTGATAATGGCGGCGAGTCAGAGTGGGGCGTCGGGGCAAGCCATGGCCTCCTCATACGTGGTAGGGATGAAAACGGAGGGAGCAGAGGAGAATGCGGATACTGGTGTCCCAGAAAGGTCGAAGGTGATGGGTAGAAGGGAAGGGTCATAGAGGTGGAGGTCAACGAACTCCTCATGTGAGTCCTCGGGAAGGGAGGTGTGGAAGGAGCGGATGACCGTTGGTGCCGCTGCACGTGTCGCTGCTGGTGCTGCCACTGGTGCCGCTGCTGGTGCCGCTGCTGGTGCCGCTGCTGGTGTCGTTGCTGGTGCCGCTGCTGGTCCTGCTGCAGGTGCCGCTGCTGGTTCTGCTGCTGGTGCCGCTGCTGGTCCTGCTGCTGGTGCCGCCGCCGGTCCTGCTGCTGGTGCCGCTGCCGGTCCTGCTACTGGTGCCGCTGCCGGTCCTGCTGCTGGTGCCGCTGCCGGTCCTGATGCTGGTGCCACTGCCGGTCCTGCTGCTGGTGCCGCTGCTGGTGCGGCTGCTGCTCCTGCTGCTAGTGCCGCTGCTGGTGCCGTTGCAGACGCTGCTGCTGGCGGCACTGCTGGAGAGGTGGCAGAGGGGGTTGCTGCAGGAGGAGGATGATGCAGAACAGCCTGGAAAAAGTGGTGAAGGAGAGGGGAGAGTGGGGGGAGGGTAGAGGTAGAGAGGGTAACAGGGGGCGGTGCACCAAGGATACTGTCACGTGACCTGGTATGGGGGTACCGGGTAAGTACGGTGCGGGGAGGGGGGGAAGGACGAGTCGGCGGCGAGGGAGGTGAAGGAGGGGCGGGAGGGGCACTAGGAGAGGAATGTGTGGGGGAGACGGGAGAGGACAGAGGTTCCGGGTCAAATATATCACCAGACGAGGGAGGGGCACCGTGGGATGGGGACGACGGTGGGGGGGGGGGAGGGAGGATGGGGGGAGGAGGAAGTAGTGGGGGAGGGGTGGTGTCAGACCAGACAAGGTGACGGGGAACGCGGGGGAGTGGGTTAGTGGATGGGGGAGAGGAGTAGTAGGGAGTGGACTCATCAAAGACCACATCCCTACTGCGGAATAGACGTCTTGAGGGGGGATGGAGAAAAAGGTTGTCAGGTGAGGAGGAGTTATGATCAAGAAAGATGCAAGGGTACGAGGGGCAAGCTTTCCCATAGAGCGGGGTGAAGGAGGACATATGCCTTTGAGCCCCAGACACGAAGAGACGAGACATCAGGTTTGTCGTTCGTCCACAGCTCAGTGGGGGTGGTGGATGGGAGAAGAGGGTGAGGGTAAAGGTTAGTAAGGAGGGCGGCATGGAGGAGGGCGTAGCCCCACAGAAAAGGAGGGCAGGAGGCATGGACAAGAAGACACCGGGCAGTTTTGGTGATGTCTCAAACACGACATTCAGCCACACCGTTCTGCTGTGGGGAGAGAGGGAGGGTGTAAGTCTGAAGAATGCCGTGAGACTGACAATAGGAGGATATTTGGTTGTTAAAGAACTCACCACCACCATCAGAGTGAAGGCGGCAAACAGGGCGCCCAAAATGGGTGTTTGCCCGCTCGAGCCAGGCGATGATCGCAGCTGGGGCATCTGCCTTCGTCCGAAGGAGAGAGACAGACGAGTACCGACTGTGATCATCGACAAGTACGAGGAGGTATTGGTGGCCCTGGCGAGTGGGAGAGGGGTTGGGGCCCCAGAGGTCCATGTGAACAAGATCAAGTGGGTGAGCAGCAGTGGAGGGGGAGCTCCGGTGCGGCTGCTGCTTGAGCTTGCTCTGAACGCAGACGGTGCAGGGGGGGCCAGGGGATTTGGGGAGGGGAGGGAGGGAGGAGGGGAGACCGTGGAGGAGACCGGAGGAAACAGAGGAGCATAGAGTAGCAAAGTTAGGGTGACCTAGCCTGTGATGGAGGAGGACGGCAGGATGGGAGAGGGAGCGACAGGAGCAAGAGGAGTCAGGGGGGGGACGAGAAGGGAGGTCCGGGTTAGCGGGAGGGAGAGGAGGAGGAGGGATGAGAGGGTGGAGGGGGGGACGAGAGATGACCTGACAGGAGGGGAGGCGAGGAACCCGAAGGGTGTACAGACGGGAGCGAGGGCAAAAGGGAATGCGAGAAAGGAACTGACCGGTGGCGGAATGGTAGAGAGCGCAATAGTTAGCATGACCTAGGAATACAGTGGTGATACCGGCTTGTTGAAGGGACCTTTGCGAAAGGAGATTAGCGCGAAGAGAGGGTATGTGGAGACCGGTGATAGTGCCTGAGGGGAAGAGTGGGCATTGGAGAGTCGAGGTGTTATGGCAGCGGATAGAGAAGCTGCTGTCGGCGCCAAGGAGGGAGGTAGGCATTGGGAGGGGGCGCAAGGTGCCAGCATCGCGAAGAGCTGTGTTAGTGGCACCGCTATCGAGGACAAAATCGAATGTGGAGGTGAGGGAGGAGGAAGGGACAGAGGACTGGAACGCAGTTTCGTTAGTGCTAGAGGAGTATGTGGTGCAGCTGATGTGGCTTGATTGACCATACCAGCGATACCAACGGATGAGAAAGGGGGGACATTGGATGAAGTGGCGGAGCTTGTGGACCAATGCGGAACTGAGTTCGGCTGGGAAGTTGGGGGAAAAGGAGGAAGAGGCAGCTGCGGTTGTAGGTCAAGGTGCTGCTGCAGGCGGTGAAGCAACTGCTAGAGCTGGAGGAGGAGGTGCCAGAGCTGCTGCTGGTGCTACTGTTGTTGCGGTTGCTGCTGCTGCTACTGCTGTTGACGCTGCTGCCGCTGCTGCTACTGCTGCCATTGCTGCTGCTGCTGCTGCTGCTGCTGCTGCTGTTGCTGCTGCGGAGGAGGAGTAGGAGGAGTAGGAGGAGAGAAGGGTTGACTCGGGGCATGGTGGGCTGGGGTGGAGAGTTTACACTGAAGTTCCCGAGTCGGGCCATAGCGAGGCACATGTTCACGAGGAGAGAGCGCTGCTGCTGCGCCGCAGCCTGCGCTCAAACCCCTGATACCACAATATCCTGCGAGTCTCCCTTGACCACCACCACAGCTACCACTATGCCCTCCTCCATGCCCACTGGCAGCACTGCTACTGCATGCCAGGGCGCCTGTTGCCATGGAGGAAGCAATGTGGGGTGTGGGCGGTCACGGCATTGTGCAGGCGAGCAGGGCATGAAGGTGTGCGGTATGCGCAGGCAGCTGACGGTATGCGTAGGCGGGTGTGCTGTATGTGCTCCCAAGTGTGCGGTATGTGCTGACAAGTGTGCGGTATGTGCTGTCAGGTGTGCGGTATGTGCTGACAAGTGTGCGGTATGTGCTGTCAGGTGTGCTGTCAGGTGTGCAGTATGTGCTGACAGATGTCAGGGACGGACAGGGCGCGGGCGCGAAGGGCGGACGAGCAGAGCGCGCGGACGGGCAGGGCGCGGACGCGAAGGGAGGATGAGCAGGTCTAGCGGACGGGCAGGGCGCGGACGACCAGGGCGCGCGGTCGGACTAGCAAGGGCGTGCGAGTTGCAAATCTGAGCACGCGGAATGCAGATTTGAGCTCGGGAGGAGTAGATCTGAGCTCGGGAGGAGGAGATCGGAGCTCGGGGGGAGTATATCTGAGCTCAGGAGGAGGAGATCGGAGCTCGGGGGGAGTAGATCGGAGCTCGGGAGGAGGAGATCTGAGCTCGGGAGGAGTAGATATGAGCTCGGGAGGAGTAGATCTGAGTTCGGGAGGAGTAGATCTGAGCTCGGGAGGAGAAGATCTGAGCTCGGGAGGAGGAGATGTGAGCTCGGGAGGAGTAGATCTGAGCTCAGGAGGAGTAGATCTGAGCTCGGGAGGAGGAGATCGAAGCTCGGGGGGAGTAGATCTGAGCTCGGGAGGAGGAGATCTGAGCTCGGGAGGAGTAGATCCGAGTTCGGGAGGAGTAGATCTGAGCTCGGGAGGAGAAGATCTGAGCTCGGGATGAGGAGATGTGAGCTCAGGAGGAGGAGATGTGAGCTCGGGAGGAGGAGATGTGAGCTCAGGAGGAGTAGATGTGAGCTCGGGAAGAGTAGATCTGAGCTCGGGAGTAGGAGATGCGAGCTCGGGAGGAGGAGATGTGAGCTTGGGAGGAGGAGATGTGAGCTCGGGAGGAGATCTGAGCTCGGGAGGAGTAGATCTGAGCTCGGGAGGAGGAGATGTGAGCTCCGGAGGAGGAGATGTGAGCTCGGGAGGAGGAGATGTGAGCTCGGAAGGAGTAGATCTGAGCTCGAAAGAGGTAGATCTGAGCTTGGGAGCACCGTAGTAGGACCGTAGGTCTGAGGGATGGGGAGGAGAGGGTGGCCTATGGACCGAGGGATCAAGGCGTGAGCCGATAGCTCATGATACCATGTGGAAAAGCTAGAATTGATACAGGCCCTTTAGTACAAACAATGAGCAAAAGAGAGATGAGAGGAAAGCTTACTCTATTGGCCAATAAGTTGGCCAATGGGTGAGCTTGCTTGTGACCTAAGCAACCACAAATGTGTGTTGGTTGGGATTGGTTGAGCTAAGGACCAATCCCAACCAACCAGAAAATGTAGTTGGAGGGTACACTAAACAACCCCCCAATTTATAATTGTGCTACATATCTACTTCTAGCCTATGTATGTTGTATGAAATATGAAATTACAACAAGCAGTGAAAGAACAGGTACAGCTGGGACAGTATAATTCCGACAGCACTGAGATGCTGAAGGAGCTGAAGGAGATGCTGGAGGCCGCTTTCGAGCTGCGTGAGATCTCGCCGGTGCAGAAGTACTTCGGGCTGGAGATCGTCCGTGACAGGTCAGCGAGGAAGCCGTGGCTGCACCAGCAGGGCTACGCCGACAAGCTGTGTAGGCGCTTCATCAACGAGGAGCAGACCGGGCGCAATCCGAAGACGCCGGTCTCGGTCAACGCCTACGCCGAGCTCACCTTCGACGACAAGGAGGCACATGAGCGACAGGAGGAGTACCGGCAGAAGGTCGGCTCGCTGCAGTTCGCGGCGACGATGACGAGGCCGGACATCACCTTCGCCTGCAGCAAGCTGGGGAGTGGCCTCACGGTGCGGAGAAAACAACACTGGTGCGAGGTCGACCGCTGTCTCGCCTACCTCGCCAACAAGCGTGACACCCCCATGGAGCTCGGCAGTGGACCTAAGTCGCTGGAGCTGGTCGGCTACGTGGACGCCGACGACGCCGGTGACAAGCAAAACAGGACGAGCACGGTCGGCTACGTGTTCGTCTACAGAGGGGCCGTAGTCTCCTGGTCGAGCCAGCGCATCAAGTGCGCGACGATGTCGTCGACCGAGTCGGAGTACGTGGCGGCCACCGTAGCTGGCAACAAGGGACGCTGATTTCGCTTCCTCCTCGCCGAGGTTCCGGCAGCTGGATGCCGGGAAGCCGGCCATCCTCCGGGTGGACAACAAGTTGGCCATCACAGTCGCCAAGGGCATGGGGTTGACGGGCACCCTCAAGCACATGGAGCGGCAACAGGCCTGGCTGCAGCACATGGTGAAGCGTGGGAAGTTTTCGCTGAAGTACATCCCGACCGCTGAGCAGCCGGCCGACTTCCTGACGAAGGCGCTGCACTATCCGGCCTTCAACCAGTGCTCCGTCACCATCGGCCAGGTGCGCTTGGCTGATGTGGGCGACGAAGTTGATGACGTGCAGCAGTAGGTGCCATGCCCTCTTGCATGGCTGGTGCGGTGGACGACGTACTGGGTGTTGGGTGCACGTCGATGAGCTTTTCTCCGACGATTACTGCCGTGTGGGCTGGGGGGCCCAAGCGTGAACGCGGCAGGGGAGCGTCAACGTGAGTTGTGTGTTGGCCCTGTCCTTGCTTGGGCGGAGCCGACTTCGTGGTCGGATGTGAGGGGAGCAGCCGATCTGCAGTAGTTGGCGAGCTGGTTGACGAGGAGGTCGACCTGCACGGGGACCACTGCACGGGGTCGACTACAGCATGAAGCTGACTTCAAGGAGGTCGACCTGGGAAGTCGACCTACAGAGGACGTCAACTTGGGGCAGCCGACTTGGGTGGTCGGCTGACAGGACTGCTGGTCGACCTGGTGGTTGGTTGACAAGGCCTGCTGGTCGACTTGATGGTAGGTCGACCTTGCGTGATGTCGACCTGGTGGTCGACCTAACCTGGTGGTCAACGTAGGAGGGGCCGACATCGACCACAACTCAGAACGCCGAGCAGCAGGGCGTTGAGTGGTTGGGCGTCAACTTGGTGACACCAACTTCGGGTAGCCGACTTGGGTGGTTGGGTGACAACTGTGCGGGTCGACGCGGAGCTGGTCGACCAGGAGTGCTGGTCAACCTGGAGCTGGTCAACCAGGGGCGTGGCCGACCTGGTGAGGTCGACTTGGGGTGGTCGTCGACTTCGGAGGTCAATGGGCACATACAGGAGCAGCTGGTTGACGTGGTTGCCAAGTTGACCAGGTTACCTCGGTGCCGAAGTTCTGCGGAGGAGAACGACGGTCGCCCAAGCAAAGTTGGCGAGTCCGACCTCGGTGGTGGTATCCCGAGGTCGACGTGGCTGATCAGTTGCAGTCGTCAGCGCCAGGTTGACTTGGTGTGTGCGCTGTGCAGGTGACAAGGCTCATCACACCAATCATCTGCGAGCACCTGCGAAGCTGGTGCGATGCTGTACTGCGGGAGCTACGCTAGCACGCCGTCGACCTACAGCGTTGGCACGCCATCGACTTTGCACTGCTGGAGCGCGGTCGACCAAGTCGTGCTAGAACGCGGTCGACCATGCGATGCTGGCAGTCGACCGACCTGAATGCTAGCTCTTATATAGTCTTGCCATGCCAACTTCATTGTACTTATTGTTGTCAACTTTCTCTAGTGAAACTCTTGCCAACTTGCCCCGTCAACTAGCAAGTACTGTGTACACTAGGAAAACGACTAAGGACCAACGAACACAGAGATCACACGAGCACCAGTGCCTAGCCCGTAGTCTAGCTCTCGTTGTAGTAGTCATATCCGCTCCCGTTGAGGAGATCCGCAGCCTCATCAACATGGGTATGTGGGAGCTGATCGAACGCCCGCTGGGGGTCAACATCATGAAGAACTGGTGGGTGTTGACGACGAAGTACCACGTCGATGACACCGTCGAGCGCGAACATCTCGTCGTAGTCGGCGCCGTATACATGCGTCAAGGGGATACTCCGTCGCCCACATGGAGCAGAGTCCAGCCTCGACGACCGCCCAGGGTATCGCCCCATACTCCTGGGCCTCATGGCGTCTCCTTGCATCCTCCAGCCGTCCTTCTAGGGTGTCCATCACCACTGTGTCACCTATGCGCACGCTAGGGACTGTACGGCTGCCGGCCTACGAGCAACTTAGGTAAGTGACCACTACGTCGACCTGACTGAAAGGTAAGTCGTGTGCCGTCCACGCTCACCGCACCATGCGGAGATAACTACTACAACGGGAGCTAGACTACGGGCTAGGCACGGGTGCTCGTGTGATCTCTGCGTTCGTTGGTCCTTAGTCGTTTTCCTAGTGCACACACAGCTTGCTAGTTCACGGGGAGAATTGGCAAGAGTTTCACTAGAGAGAGTTGACAACAATATGGGACAATGAAGTTGGCATGGCAAGACTACATCAGAGCTAGCATTCAGGTCGGTCGACTTCCAGCACAGCATGGTCGATCGTGTTCCAGCACAACTTGGTCGACCGCGCTCCAGCAGTGCAAAGTCGATGGCGTGCCAACGTTGCAGGTTGACGGCGTGCCAGCGCTGATTACGCAGAACAGCAGCGCACCAGCTTCGCAGGTGCTCGCATATGATTGGCGTGCTAGGCCTTGTCACCTGCACAATGCACATACCAAGTCAACTTGGCGCTGACGATTGCATCTGATCAGCCACGTTGACCTCGGGATACCACCTCCGAGGTCGGATTCGCCAACTTCGCCTGGGCGACCGTCGCACTCCTCCGCAGAACTTCGTCACCCAGGTAACGTGGTCGACTTGGCAACCACGTCGACCAGCTGCTCGTGTACGTGACCGTCGACCTCCGAAGTCGACGACCACCTCCACGTCAACATCACCAGGTCGACCACGCCCCTGGTCGACCAGCTCCACGGCGACGTCACTTCTGGTCGACCAGCTCCACATCGACCAGTACTCCTGGTCGACCAGCTCCTCGTCGACCAGCGCAGTTGTCAGCCGACCTCCAAAGTTGGCTACCCGAAGTCGGCGTCACCAAGTTGACGCCCTGCTACTCAACGCCCAACCGATCGACGTCCTGAGTTGAGGGCGACGTCGGCCCCTTCTTCGTTGACCACCAGGTCAGGTCGACCACCATCAGGTCGACCAGCAGGCCTTGTCGACCAACCACCAGGTCGACCAGCAGTCCGTCAGCCAACCACCCAAGTCGGCTGCCCCAAGTTGACGTCATCAAGTTGATGTCCTCCGCAGGTCGACTTCCCTGGTCGGCCTCCCTGAAGTTGGCGCCACCCTAAAGTCGGCGCCCAAGCAGCGGTCCCCGTGCAGGTCGACCTCCTCGTCAACCAGCCCACCCATTGCTGCAGGTTGGCTACTCCCCTCACATCCGACCACGAATTCAGCTCCGCCCAAGCGATGACGAGGCAAACTCCAGCTCCCGTTGACACTCCCCTGCCGCGTTCACGCTTGGGCCTCCCCAGCTCATACGACAGTACTCCTCGGAGAATAGCTCGTCAACGTGCACCCTACTCACAGCACGTTGTCCACCGCACCAGCCATGCAACTGGGCATGGCACCTTCTGCTGCACGTCGTCAACTTCATCGCCCACGTCGGCCGAACGCACCTGGCCGATGGCGATGGAGCACCGGTTGAAGGCCGGATAGTGCAGCGCCTTTGTCAGGAAGTCGGCGGGCTGCTCGGTGGACGGGATGTACCTCAGCAAGAACTTCCCGCACTTCACCATGTGTTGCAGCCAGGCCTGTCGCCGCTCCATGTGCTTGGGTTTGCCCGTCAACCCCATGCCCTCGGCGACTGTGATGGCCGACTTGTTGTCCACCAGGAGGACGGTCGGCTTCCTGGCATCCAGCTGACGGAACTCTGCGATGACGAAGCGAAGCCGACGTCCCTCCAAGCCGGCTTCGGTGGCCGCCACGTACTCCGACTCGGTCGACGACAGCATTGCGCACTTGATGCGCTGGCTCGACCAGGAGACTGCGGCCCCTCCGTAGACGAACACGTAGCCGCCCGTGCTCGTCCTGTTCTGCTTCTCACCAGCATCGTTGGCGTCCACGTAGGCGACCAGCTCCAGCGACTCAGGTCCACCGCCGAACTCCAGGGCGGTGTCACGTGTGTTGGCGAGGTAGGCGAGGCAGCGGTCGACCTCGCGCCAGTGCTGGTCGCTCCGCACCGTGAGGCC